GGAACCTGAAACATAGTACTAGCGTTGCAAAATTCAAAAGGTCACTTATATTATTAGCTGTAATTCGACACTTACCGCTGAACTAGGATAGATTCGATAAAACAAAACTGTTTCACATGGCGGACGTGAACCAGTTATAATTGTTGGTAAATCCAATGGTTTACCTTCGGGATATGCTATTGTTATATCAAGAATCCAATTGATTTGTGGTTTAGCTACCGCCATGTCTACAATAAAATTATTTCCTCGTGATAAATGCAATGTGCAACAGTATTGGTTGAATTGGAAATTTATACATGTAAGATCACGTACTTGGTCCATTGTTTGATTCTTGTTCGGATGTACTGTTCTCTTGTGACGGACCAATTGTATCAAATATAGTTTGCAATGCTCCCACTCTTGGTAATGTTACATTTTCAAGGATTGGCAAATTATTCTTCTTAGCATATTTCTGTGAGGTCTCTCGCCTCTTGCATAAAAAACCTCCTTCAGGAAAAAGTACCATCCATTTTCTGTTCAGTGGAATATATTTCTCTTTTATATGCTTTTCTAACTGCCTTAAACTTTCTTCTCGTTTCTTACGTCCCTGATGTATAAAAATATTAAATAAAATAGCTTCATATGTAATACGGTATTAATGAATTATCAAGTCTGTTTCAACTTACGGATACAATGAAGAAATCCTGATGTAAAACAGAAACTACACCGAAATTAGTAAATTTAAAAATCCTATCCATAATCCACATCAAATTGGGTAACACATTTGGTTTGGCATTAAATGTTGTCATTAATAGAGGAACATCACCTGTGCTTTGATGATTTGCCAAAACTAATGTTCTTTCACTAATAATTTGTTGTATGTCATCACCTTCTTCTATTACTACAATGAAATTATTTATTTTTTTTACCAACAATCGATCGCTGTGTACAGAGATAAATTATTATGTACAAATGTTTTACTTACGTTAAACATTATACTTACTATCATAGCCTGCAGACCAAGTCCACATTGATACCATTGCTAAAAGCCAATGGAAAAATAATCCTTCGATCCTCCAATACACTTGTGGTTGATAAACTTTTACAGGGAATAATAATGTCATCCATACTACATACGTAGGTATACAATAAACATTGTTCAATATCACAAAAGTGGTTCTAGCAATACATTTTACAAAAGTCAACACATTACTGATTACTCTGCAAAATTAAAATATAAAATTCTGATAATAATTATTTATACTTCTTTATTGAACTTTTGAGAGTTTACAAGTATTATTTGCACCCTTCATCGCAGTTTAGTCAGATTGCATGTTTATAGAATGTTCTGTTTTATTAATCTTTCGAATATTAAATATAATTTATATCCAACAAATACAAGAAATGTTCTTCAA